TGTGAAAAAACGAGTCTGCTACGGAGCAGCTGTACTGGTGACCTGGTCTCCTGGCTCGGGGCTGCTTTCCCACAAAGCCATCCAGCCATCTGGCAGGTCCAGGGGTTATTAATATTCAAAATACCTCTGACGACCCAGCTGAGGCAGATAATATGCAGGCAGACAGAAATGAACTTTCGCACTGATTTAGTAATTTTAGAGAGACACAAAATTCTGAGATTATTCAACTCCTAATTCTGCACTTTTCCAGCAAAAGTCTCCTTGATGCTGTTCAGCACACACGTTGGAGCTCCTTGTATCAGACAGTCTCTCTCCAGAAGCGGAGATCATTTTCTGATGAAATGACTGCTATGAACTCTAAGGGTGGGTACTTAAAACCCAAGAATGCATTAAGAGCTCTAATTGAAAGAAGATTTTCTCATTTAAATCTCAGGCAAGGTTAAAGGAAGAACTCTCTGCAGCTGAAAAGTAATTTTCAGGATGAAGTGAGGGGCTGTTGTTGTTTGTGGAGTGAGAAATGAACAAAAATTTGATGTCAAGTGTCAGAACAAGAAGGTACCTCCAAGAAGGGGACTGCAAATTGGGGAATGGAAGACGGGACCTGCCACTGTCACTTGGCAGTGGTTCAGCTCCAGGTTAACAGAAGTCTTGAATGCTAAAAACTTCTTTATTTGCAGTCTCAATTCTTGTCTTACTGAGTAGGTAGCCACATCTCAATCCAACTAGAATTCACATTATGCTGTTTCAGGAAACCTGGAAGGAGACTGACCATACACAGCTAATCTGAAAACAAAATGGTTTAAAAAAAAAAAAAAATAAAAATCTCAGTGATCTGGAGAACAGAGACGACAATACACAATTTCCTAAATGTAATGAATTGTGTCAGAGCTTTACGTCTAGTAAAATACATTTTAACTGCATAAAAGCAAGACTGTTTTATTGTGTACTTTATTGAATTAATTTAAGAAAATGTTAGGAATTCCTTATGTTATTTTTAACAATGTTTTAACGAGCAAGAGTAAGGGGAAGAACACATACCCACACTGTGGAGGAAAGAAAACAATCCCTAGCACAAGAACATCCCACAGCACGAGTACACCTACTGGCCCTTGGTATAACAGGACAAGGGGTGATGGTTTTAAACTAAAAGAGGGAAGATTTAGACTGGATATAAGGAAGAAATTTTCTACAGTGAGGGCAGTGAAATCCTGGCACAGGCTGCCCAGAGAGGTGGGAGATGCCGCATCCCTGGAAACGTTCAAGGCCAGGCTGGACGGGGCTCTGAGGGACCTGGTCTAGTGGAAGATGTCCCTGCCCATGGCAGGGGGTTGGACTGGATGGCCATCAAATGTCCCTTCCAACCCAAACCATTCTATGATTCTGTACGTGGTTCAGTCTATTTCCAGATCACTGTCTTCACTGTAACATGCAGATGGATTACGAATAGAAGTCAGGAGCACCAGGTCTTTTTCCGGAAGCAAACCACATTCCTGCAGAAAAGCCTCCAGGTCAACAGCAAAAAAATCTTCTCCAAGCTGGTCAGTGATTCGCACAAAATTCCCGATGAGCTCACCTGCCTTATAGATCAGCAAAGCTGGCAGAGCATTATTAGTAAAGCGAGCGCTGGCACCAATGAGCGAACTCTTGACTCTGCAAAATTTAACTGCTGGATACTCCGCAGCCAGGCAGATCATACAGCCGTTCAGCGATTCGGTGCCGGGGATATCATCTTCATAAATATGGATCATGATCAGCGTGCTCTTATGCTCTTTATCAATTGTGTCCAAAAATGCTTCTCCACTGGTAATCTCAAAAACCTGTTTAAATTGCTGCCCACTGTACAACTGCTGTCTCATCTCCTCCATTCGCTGCTTCCGGTATCGCTGTAAAAACTCCTCATCATCTTCATCATTGTGAATCATGTTATATTCTTGTAACGTCATCTAAAAAACACACACAAAGACACACAAAAAAAAGATCTGCATCACTATATGGGTCACTTACATAATGAGAATTTAAATCAAGAGGATTAATGTGGGTCACTCCTCTTCCATACCAGCAAAGTGCAACCCATGCAGGCTCAAGCGCCCTCTGCACTACGCTCCGCTCTGATCCAATTAGCAGCCGTGTCCCGCGGGAACAGCGATTTCAGCCTTGGCTACGCTGGTTTCCCCAGGCTGCACTGATCACACAAGCGGCTGCTCCACGCTCCCCTTCAATACAGGTTAACGGTGGCTGTGTGCTTTCACTAAGCTACGAGCGCTGATTTGCATACCGTGCCTGACCGAAGTCTAGCTTCTTTTTCATTAGCTTTTTCGTTCAGTTTCTCCGTTAGCATTTTGTGGCAACCAAGCGCACTATCTTGTCCACAGAACTAAAATTAACAGGATTTTATGTATTTCTATCTGTTCACTTGCTCCGTTAAATGTATCTGCATCGCTCAAGGTATATGACAGTGTAGCCAACTTTCATCATCTGACAGCAAGAAACACTGTCTGCTAATTAGTAACTTCTCCGGCTAGAACTGTAAGAGCTGGCTATACAGCCCAGTAGATTAAAACCATTCCTTACTTCCAATGTCTTCTATCTTTGAAGCTCGAAGTCCAAGCTAAATTCTCAACATCCACGAACTACACAGGACAACGGTAAGGACGCCTGCGCGCTTGTCTCAGGCACGGGAGGCAGTGGCCATAGGTTTGCTGTACAACTCTTCGCATTAACCCCCTGAAGTTGACTTATTTGATAAACAGGTAAGGGAAATCTGGGAAAAGGATCTGGACTTCTTTGGTACAGTAGCTAAATCGCTTATTTCTTAACACAGGCAAATGCAATGTTCCTGGAATAACGCTAAAATGCAAAATAATTAAACTTGACAATACCTGACGAATACAGTTATAATCCACCTTTTACAGCACTGCTGTGTTCCTATTTACTAGGGAGAAATGACACATAGATAGAACAAGAATTCCCATCTGCTTCACGTACACAAATATTGAAAGGGAAAATGTTAAACATTTAAGTGGCATTTAAATTCCTTTGTGTGATGCTACCTTCCCATTGATTTTGTCCTGAAGCTCTTTCTGCTTCTGCTTATCAGCATCTTCATCCAAGTGAGATCTACACGTCATAGATAACTTTTTAATGAGTCGTTCCATTTCTCTGCGCTGCTCCTGCCGCTGCTCAGTTTCCAGTTGTTTAAATCTTCGCCAGTCATTAATGACTCCTTTGGGACCTGAAATTAAATACGTAGGCATTTTGTACAAAAGGGTAATAAAATTACACTTACCATTTAAAATTCATGTAATAATTTCCAAGTCAACAGTAAAATAGTGGCCCTGTCATAAACTTCTTGTATACTGTGCAAAATGTTGAAATGAAACGAAAGAAGTAATTTGCCATTTACGTGTCCTTGAGCTTGTAGCTATTTTTTTTTCTAAGACAACTAAAGTTTATCTAACTAGGCCACTCTCATCACTGTCCCAAAGATTCTTCCCAAGATTAGTATCTGTGAAACAGCACCATCAGCCCACAAGAATTCCCCTACTGTTAGCACAGCTTTTCATAAGAACAAAAATAATGATGGGGAAAGAATAATTAAGCCTGCCAACGCTCTGGTACAGATGTACCTTCTGTGACGTACAGCAGCGCTCGTTCTTACAGACTGCACCTTGCTGGTACCTTGCTGCTGGGGCAGGGGAGTTGCTTTTTCAGGTCCTAAGTATGCCAGTTTAGTACTATAAATACTGCTTCCTTTGGGTGAAAGATGAGAACACAGGCAGGAAGAAGATTCTTCACCATTCTTAGAGAAACCGTAACACATAGAGGGCCAGTCTTTCATGAGAACACAAATACCCTCTGGATCACACCAGCGATCCACACAGACTCGTACTGTGTCTCTGACAGCGGCAGTGGCAGCAGAGAAAGCTGTTTTGGGAAAGCCTGGCCACTTTCTGTCTGTTCCTCACGTACTCGTCCAGCACCTCCCTGCTAGAAGCTAACAATGGTGCAGCTTACGGGAAAGAACTTTATGCGTTATCAACCAAATTGTACAAATCAGCTTTCTATGCAAAGCCTAACTGCTTTAGATGTAATGCTGCAGTCTCTCAGAGAAGTCAAACATGAAAATAAAGGACCGGCTATTAAAAATAAGGTCAGAATGTAGCCTGGATACGATCAATCTCTGATTCAAGTATGCACAAAACCAGGATTTTCATTTCGAAAAAAGAATTTCAGAAAAACACGTAAATCTCCCAATAAACAAAGTATTTGCAAAACAAGCTGTCTGATACGACAATACCTGTGTTGACTGCGCTGCCATCACCGCTCAGCTCCACTTCGCTGATGCTTTCAGGAACAGTGCTCTCCCCTTCTTTATCTTCTTTCTCACTGTCTTCATCCTCACCCTCACTACTGCTGTAATAATACTGGAGCTTCTCACCAAGCAGTTTATCATCCAGAGTAGTCATTATGTTCTAAAAAATACATTAACAAAATAAGAGAATATCTCTCAAATACTCCGCGCAAGATGCCACTTTAAATGCGTAACAATAGTCCCTTACTTCCTCAGAGCAGTTTTTTAGCCACATAACCACGGTTTACAGCCCGCTACCAAACAGCCCACAGTGCAGTCAGCCACGCGAGTTAACTCTTAGTCACAATTTCAAACTCACTTAAGTTAAAAATCTTTACAAACAGAACTGCTTTGAGGCTCACTAGTGCAGAAACACTTTACGTGCGTTCTCATTCATGGAGAACGAATTTTCTAACAGTGATTCAAGAGTCTTATCAGTCTCATTCAGCTCCATGAGGCTGACTTCCCAGTTACTGAAATTTAAATTTCCAGTATGATTTGCATTATTTTAACAATAATTTCTTTAAGTTGAAAAAATGATCGACGTAATTAATCAAACTAAAATGTCCTGACCTTTATTCCTTTCCAGTCTTTCAGAGACGAGCTTCTATCAAAATCTGGAAGAAGATATTTCAGGTTATATTAATTCAAATTGTTGAAGACAATCTCACTTTTGCAGAAATCCGGCACATATAAATAACGTAACACATGCAAGGAAAAAATCTTAAAGAAAATGTAATCCCATTTGTCGTTTAATAAAAAGCTTGCTCTCAAACACAGAAAGCATAAGGAGTGAGACAGAACGCACAGACGCTTTGTGCAGTCAGCGCTGCAGCTTCACGAACATCATTTTCAGGCTACGAAACAGCACATCAACAGAAAGATCTTGGCGTCTGTTGTCTCTTCACCTGTCCACTGACCGCATCGGTCACCTTCACCGAAGTCACCAGCATCCTGCTTGTGTGGACAACGCTGAAATTAGATGCTGACACACTTATAAAGTGATCGCAGCTATGCTGAAAACCCTCCCTTTTCCCGAGTTCAGTATTTTTTTAATCCAAAATAGCTCCTGCTAAATAGAAATTAACAGCAGCAGCCTCTAACGCTCCGGTCAGCGTCAGCAATCGCAGGCTCTGCCAGCCTCTCGCAGCCGGAGCACACACAGA